TTATTAATAGGCCCCGAAAACATATTTCGTAGAAAATTAGCTGAAAGTTGAGTGAAATCAAATTAATATTGATTTATATCTATGGGGCATAAGGAAATAACGATGAAAATTGCCTTAAAACGCAGCGAAATTGATTTCTGGATCGTGCCTAGCATAAGAGCATGTCAGCCAGACGCTACAGTTGGCCATGGCTAAGGGGATATAAATGGATGGATTCGAGAGAGAGAGAGAGAGAGAGGGGTGTGGCATTGGAGAAAGTAGGAACAGTAAAATGCATTGGGCGCAGCTAAGTGTTTAAGTGTTCTAATGTAACTTTGTCTCCACGGCTTCGACTTGCATTTGTTCGTTTTTCACTCATTTTCCTGCTCCACTTCAGCGGCTGCTGCGCGGGGAGGGGAGTGCGGGTTGAGTGGGTGGTGGCAGCTGCTTATAATATGATTATTCTTGCTGCTGCTTGCGCCTTTCTTTTTTTATCGAGTGTAAACAGTTAGTTTGTTGCGCTCAAAATAATCGCTCAACAATCATAACAATTGCCAAGGCAAAAAAGAAATTCGCCTAGCCCCAAAATGTATGCTACAAAAAATTGTTCGGCCGCCCTAAGGTCATTTTAATTATCTGCCGCGCACGCAAAAAATGCAAAGCAGCTACAACAACAACAACAACAACAACAACAACAACAGCAACAATGACAACAAACAGCCAAAAGAAATTCAATTAAAATGGAATCCCCGGAAATTCCTTGTAATCCCAAACTCCCAAAAAAAAAAAAAAAAATCTTAAAAAAAAAGCAGAATGAAAAGTATGTATAATGCGTAGACATATTGTCAAAAGGCAAATTCGTACAACTCACGAAGGTAGCACAAAACATGTGGCCAATAAATTTGTGAACGGGGGCCGGAGGGAGCAAAACTTAAGCATGTAAATTGCCGCACGTTCATTTTTTGATTTTGCCAGCATGAAATCAGTATAATCTGTTTTGTCAGTACACTCTAACCAACAACAACAGCAGCAGCAGCAGAAAAGTCAACGCAAAGTTGCCAGCTGAAGTTGATTTAAAACGCGCGCCCCGCCCTGCTAGCCTGCACACCCTCTCTGTCGCATCTCCACACAGGCTTCGCTTCAACCGGTGCTTATCCGTGTCCATGCTCTGGTCCGTATCCCTGCCCAGAAGCGCTGATTAACGCACTCGAGCGCAATCTGCCTCACTTCACTTTTATGTAAACACAAAACAGAATATAAAGGCATAAAGCAAAATAAAATAGAACGCCTGTCTCTCTGTCTGTCTCTCTGTCAGTCTGTCAGTCTGTCCTGTTGTCTGTACCGTTGTCCTTCTGTTTGGGCACTGTCTCTTCTGTAGCCGGCCTATCTAGATGGCAGCGCTGGCAATGTGAAAAAATGTTCGACTCTCGCCTTCTCTCTGCCTGTCTCGCCCCCGCTCTGCCTTTTCATATTAAAGGTAATTTTCATATTTTTGCAAATGGCTGCCTGGCTGTATTCGCTATCTCTTTCACACGCAGGCTTCTTGTCTCGATTTATATCTCTAGCTCTCGTGAACTGCTGGAGCAAACGCCAAATTCAATCATTTAAATTCAAAAATACACATAAATATACTTATGTGAAAAGTACAGAAATATAAAAAAAAAACATGTATAGCTATACAGTATATATGTAAATATTTATAAAAATATACTTTTATATATTGTCTGCCAAAGTCAACGGCCGACGATTGTATAAAGCAAAATATTATCTACGAGCATTTGCTAAAGCAAAGAAGATTGCAATACCCTAAGGTGCAGCGCTTAGGAAAATTGTTTACAGGTGGGCGTGTGTGTTAACATATTCGAATTATTGACTGTGAAATAAAGGTGATTTTACCAATACGAATTGTGTACAATGAAATATGAGTACTTTCATGGATTGAGTTTAATAAAAAGAGATTAATCTATGATGGGGAATTCATTAGATACAATACTTACAAACTTCAACTAGTTTATGCCGCAGAACTTAATTTGATGGATTCGAATATTTACTAATAATATAAATACTATAATTAATTTGTTATTATTTTCTAAAAAAAAACTGCATTTTTCTATCAGCAAAAACTAATCGATTCACTCTCAAATTTTTAAATTGTGAATTTTTCTCTTAATTACATGTTTTAAGACAACGAAAGTTATATTAATTTGTTTCGACAAAATGAAAACATATTTCATTTAAGAAATGTTTACCAATAGATTTAAAGGCTATGAAGCTTAACAACATTTAGTTTAAACAATTTAATCCGCGTGCAAGAATCACTGCATTAACTAATACGATAATTATGTGGCTAAAAATATTTAGGTAATTAACATTTATTTTTGGCTAATGCTTTGCTCTAACTAGATTATGATGTAGCTTATTATTATTCGTTTCTTAGGATAGTAATGAAAATATAAATATTAATGACTGCGTGGCGACTTTTCTGTTTTGGCTTTGCTGCCAAAATGCATATATAAATATTAATAATATTAATAGAGCTTTTCCTAATTAGAGTTTGGCTTCAACTAATTAATGATGGAGCACTTTTTGGCATAACTTTGTTAAGTTCTTTCTTTGCCCTTTAAAATTGTTTGAGCATGGATTTGTGCTCACAAATTAAGCTTAGCTTCCAGCTTAGTTTAAAGCTGAAGAAATTTAAGTAATACATTTTCCTGTTAAGTTTTATTTTTCTTCCGTTTAAGCTTGACATTTTTTAGACAGTTTTATGCTTATAAAACACAATCATAGCTTGTCTTTTTCTTGTATTTTTTAAATTTTTTAAACATTTCCATAGTTTAGTTAGCTAAGCATCGTCAAACTGAGCACGAAGTCTAGTCCCTGAGAAGATCGAAGACACAGAAAAACAGGGTCAACGCCTTGTCGCTTGACATTTTTATAATGTTGGGCAACTCTGTTTTACTCTCAGAAAGTGTTACCAATCTCTTGTTCAAGTTATGTTAACCATAGCCAGCTGCGAGTGCATCAAAAGGGTAAAATCTGAGCTGTGCGTCGCTGCGGGTTGCAAAAAAAAAAAAAAAAATAGGAAGAGAATTTTAAGCTGAGGCGCCCAAGCGGCGCGTTGCAAAAAATATTTATTACTCTGCCAAGAGCCAAGAGGTGTATGTGTGCTTGTGTGTGTGTGTGTGTGTGTGTGTGTGGGAGTGTGGGTGTGCCTGTGTCTAGTGGAAGATTGCTTGCCCTCAAGGTGAAAATATGCTAAGTAACAAATAAAAGCAAGATCTGTATCAGAGCCAGAGCGCGAGCCAGCCTCGACGTCGACGTTAGCTGCAAATGTTGCAAACGAGTCGACGTCGTTTCTTTGGCTTTTTACATATTTTTTGAGGTTTTGCAGAAGTGCGGCAAAACTAGCGCACAGCTGTGCGGTGGCTGAGGGAGATGGGGTGGGGGGGGGGGGGGGGGGGGGGGGGCGAGGGGGAAGGAGGGCGGACAAACGGACAGAATGGCCAAAAGCAAAGCTTGTAAACAAATTAAGAGATTGCTTTTGGCCAGTCGGCCCTCAAAAGCGTTGAACTGAAGGCTAAGCCAATGGGCGTAGCGAAAAGGGAGGGAGACAGCTGGAGGGTGGTACTGGGAGCACATGGGCTGCGTACCAGCAATGGGCGTTTCTAATCAAATCAGTTGCTGCATGCAATAAATTCCAACAAGGCAAAAAAAAAAATAACGAAAATATAAAACACTTTGCGGTTGCTGCTGTTGCTATTGCTGCTGTTGCTGCCACAAGTTGAAGCGACAAACAACAAAATTGATTGGACGACTTTTTGTGTAGTGCGTGTAAAATTTTTGTTTACAAATTGTTCAACTTTCATTACAATGGCCAAAGGGGTGGTGGGGTGGTGAGTGGCGGCAACTCTTATATATGGCGTGACTGCGTTTCTAAAAGTCAACTCTTAGCCTATCATGTAAATATGATTATTTAAAATCATGAAACTCTCAAGCGTTTTGTAAATAATTCAAGTAGCCAACCTAAAGCTGTTCAAGTTTGCCTTAACAACTTTTGTAACAAGCGCTTAGCCTCAAATAGCTAATAAATATATGTATTAAGGTGCAATGAGACAAGCTGCCAGTTTTATAGACTAGTTTAATTCCATTAATAAACATGCCAAAAATTGAATACTCTCGTACACATATGACACATATAAATGTCTTGAGAAAGAGGATATTTTTCCATACAATAACTATATATTCGCCAAAATCTTTATTTGGAGCTGCGGGATATTGCGATATAGCAATTCGATGTGGTTACGATTTTTCTTATATGCCATGAGCATAGTCTAACTAATAAATGTCAAGTTTGTTGAACATATTAAGAATATTGGAAAACCAAAAGTATTTACATGCTTCATTTTCAACTGATCGTTGCTATATGGCAGCTATATGCTATGCGATTTTGTGAGGAAATAGGGTACTTTTTTGTAAGCAAACAAAACAGTTTCCGACTAGAGATTCCTATGACAACTATATTGGACAAGCTTGCATAGAAACAGACAGACGCCTGTTGATACTGATCAAGAATATATATTATGGGCTTGGAGATGTCTTATATGTGTTACACATTTCATGAGTTAACTTAAAACTTAGATCTTTACCAATTCTAATTTATTCTTAAAATAATAGATAAAGAAATATATTTATCTATTAAAAGATATATTAAAATATGAATAGCAGGCAACGAAAACATAAAAGTAGCTACTAGCTGATAGGAGGTGCAAGAGAAGTGAAAGGTTTAAGGAAGGTTTAAGAAAGGGTTAAGAAATCAATTTCAATATCGATAAAATTGCCCGTACGTTCTCCGTTAATTACTATCGATAGGTCGTTCGATTCAGTCGATTCAGTCTTCAAGCAATACTCTTGAAAATTGTCAACAATTTTTCGTGTTTCAACAGTTTTGTACGTCAAAAATCATAGTTATACGGAGAAAGCCGATTTCTGCCAAAGGGTATATAGGTATATTTGAGGAGAAAATGTCGTATATCAGCTATCGTCATTTTAATGGGCGCACCATCGCATTTACCGACGACAATGTCGAGGTAAAGAAACTCTTTTTGCAGCGTGTGCCATTTAAGATGCATACAGAAACGTTGCAGACATACTTCTCCTATTTTGGAAAAGTGCTGCATGTAGAATTAATTGAGAAACCGCGTAAAAAAAAATTCAAATTTGGTTATGTGCTGTTCGAGAGCTCTCGCGATGCCGCCGATGTTCTGCTCAAGGAAATGCATTTGATAAACGATCGTCTCATCAAGCTGGAGCCGTATCATAGCTGGGGTCAGCCCGCAGTCGAGAACATTGAGCCCATACCGGAAGAGTCGCCCATTAGAAGGCTAAACGATGATTGCCTGTATAGAATATACCGATATCTATCGCTTACCGACCAACTGAATCTGGCACGTGCTCTGAAGCGTTGCCCCCCGCTATATAGCTCCATCAACCTGGGCACCTTCAAGAGTATCAGCCTGTGGGATATGCACGACTTTTTCGTGCTCTTTGGCTATAAACTAAACCAAATTGTTGGCCAAATACCGCGTAATCGTTACCGGCGTCTAATTGAATTTGTTAGCACGCATTGCCACAATCTCAGGGTCCTGCGCATCACCAATAGTCCTCTAACCGTTTGCAATACGTACAAGCTGGTGGGCCATCTTCATCAGCTGCAGGAGCTGAAGCTGTCCAATTGTGATTTAGTTGATGATTGTCTGCCATCGCTGACAGGTCTGCATAAGCTCAAGAAACTGGATCTGTGCTATAATGACATGTTGACGGGACTGCTTATGGATAAGCTGCCCAGTTCTATAGAGTCGCTGAATCTTTTGTACTGTATCGATGTGGAGTCCATGTTCCTGCCCAGAATTTGTAGTGCCTTGCCGCAACTCAAGGAGCTGGGCATCAGGACGTTGCTCACCGAGCACACGAATGTGTTCCAAGAATTGGCGAACGGCCATTGCTGTGACAAACTGGAGACAATCACTCTGCAGACCGAAGCCTCTTTTCACCTACAGTTTCATTTGGAGTATCTGGCCAAGCTGCCGGGCCTCAAGAAGCTGATCATGTACGAAAGGCCCACACTTATGCTGCTGCAGTGGCTCGTGGAGCACAAGTCCGAGCAGCTAATCCATCTGGAGAACAATTCGAGGATGTCCCTTGATGCCCAGCAAATGGCGCTGGTTGCTCAACTGAATGCATTGCGCATTCTCGCTCTGCCCAATAACATTGATATCGACGATGACGTCATGGGCAAGCTGTGCAATCTGCAGCACTTGGAGGTAATTCATTTGCAGGGCTGCAAGAAAATCACAGATCAGGCGGTGCTGCGTCTGCTGCTCAGCTGCAGCAAGCTGCATGTGCTGCATCTCGAACGTTGTAGGCTCCTTTCCGGCCAGCTCATTCATTGCATCATCGGCGAGCTGCGTGAACTGTGTCGCCTCCAGCTCAATCATCGTCAACTGCCAGTTAAATTGTATTTCTTTGGCGCAAAGTTTAATGATTTTATGCTAAAGCATTCGGATGTACGAGCTGCCAGCGATATGGTCGACATTGAACTGACCCGTTGTCCATATTGGTAATATCGTCAGCAGCTGGGCGGGTTGAGGTGCTTGAGGTTGAGGTTGGCCAGCTATTGGAAGACAGAATGGAAGTTGCATCAAATAGCCATTTCATGAATATATTTTTAGGCGTGCCCACATTTAGTTTCAATATTTTATAAACTGAATATATTCTTTTATCAATATACCCTTCATAATTTCATTTTTAGTTATAGAAACAGAACGCAAAAAAAAACATTTATAGTAAAGAAAAAAAACTGCGGAAAAAGACAAGTTTTAAAAAATCAATTCACATTGCCTTTTAAAAAATTGCCTTCTATCAATATTTATTTTATTAAGAATTAATTTTTAGATCTTTGATAAAGGATTTTAAATTTAGGTTAAATCAAGCGCTTAAGAATCAGTTAACAATGGGTTTGTCCGTAAATCTTATTTGAAATGAAAAACAAATATTTTAATAGCTCTTATTATTAATAATGCATATCTTAAAACAACTCTAGCTAACTTTATAATATTAGTTTCCCAGTCATATTCTCTGAATCGGAACGAGCAGCTGCAAAGGCAATAATAAAAATAATTCGCTAAGCTCGCCGGGCAAATAGAAGCCAGGAGCTTAACAAAATGACCAAGGTTATGCATATATTAAGGATAAACATAACTTTTACGGAAATTATAATTAAACGGCGCTCCTGAATCAAGAGTTGCGTCGCGTCGCTGGGAGAAGAGTTGAGTCGAGTCGAGTGGAGAGTTCAAAAGTTGGGAAAGCGCCGCACGCGGAATAGTTTTCTAATTAACTGTGAACTATGCGCAGCACAGAAAAGACGCACAGCAATAGTAAAAGAGCAATGCATAGAGAAAGAGCGAGAGAAAATTTGAGAATGAGAAAAACAGACAGAGAGAGAGAGAGAGATAGAGGGTGTCCAGTGTGAAGCGGGCAACTAGCTGGTTGCTCGGTGAGATAAACCGTGAAATCTCATGAATTAACTGTGCCAACTTTTGGCTCCTGGCTGCCACACGAAACTATTTGAAAAGAAAGACAATTGCAGCTGGCTAGAGCAGGGGGTTGCGGCACATGCGGCGAATGAACGCAGGGGGGAAAAGAGGGCTGGTGATGGCAACGGCGACAGTTACTCCACAAATGATTTAGTTGCGGCGGAAAGCGAAACGTCGCCAACAAACAACTCGAGTGCGGGCTTGCCGCCATTGTGTGCTCGCCATTGTACCGGAAATGCCGCACAAATGAGAACTGGAAGTGGAAGGAAGTTGACAGGCATGGGCGACAACGGGCAACTGGGCGACCGAGCAACTGGGTGTCCCTCTCAGTCCCTGCAGGGCAACACGGCAACGTGCGAGGCGTCAACATTGTCACATGACAGGTCGACGCAACACCAGACAGTTCGTGGCGCGTTCGGCACTGGCTCTTACTCAGACTCTGACGCTGGCAGCTTCTCCGCTGGGTCGCTCCTCTAATTAGCTGCAGTAATGGCATGTCAACAGGGCCGAGCATGGCATCAACTTGCAAGCTCTGCCCCAAGACGGCGACAGCAGCTGCTCCTCCTGCAGCTCCTGCAGCTCCTGCAGCTCCTACAGCTGCTGCCGGAGTGTAACTGGAGACAGGCGCCACTTTTCCCATGGCACCCATCCAGACTGTGATATGCGCCTCTTAACCCATTTTACTCAGCGAAAACGCTTCAGGAAATTAAACACAAACTATAAACAGTGGCGAAAGCATTCTTAAGAAAATATGTATTAAGTTCCCCAAGCATCCGAGCTTTTAGCTCTGCGCTTCATCAGCACATAAACCAATTCTCAGTTTTAAGACACGAACATTCTGGCGTTCCTTTTTTTACTGAAAGTATTTATTGCGCTCTGTTATTTACTCAAGCACACTTTATGACAAAATTATATTTATAATAAATTAAATATTATTAACAAATATCATGCCATAAATAGGTGTAATATAAAATCATTAAATTAACTCTGTAACTGTCTGTCAAAACTATATATTTTTTGACAAAAAACCATTTAGTTGCTTCTCTAGCAACCATTTTTTTCAAAGACCTCTTAACCTTACTATTTACGGAAAAACAAATTTTTTTGACAAGCTGATATTTTCAAGCTTATCATAAAATATAACCAACTTTTAAGCTTCCACCCAACTATTTAACTACAAGTTTAATATTCAACATAAATTTGAAATTTTCTCCATGTTAACAAACCCATTTGTTAGGTGTTCAACTTGCACTTCATCCAATTGCATTTGCATTTTGCATTTTGCGGTTACCTTGCACAATCGACCTATTGAAATTTTCTCGATTTTCCCCGGAACATTCAAATTTGGCAGCGTTTTTTCTCATTTGACATAAATAATTGGCGCATAATGAGCATAACTTGAAGCAAATTACAGCGCGTGTGCCTCGAACGCTAAGCAGGTGGGAGGTTGGGAGGTTGGGCGTAGCCACGCCCTGTGGCGCCTCGAGGCATTGGGCGACGGAGGGGAAGGGCCAAAAAACTTAAAAATATGTCCAGGGTGTGTGCGGGAGGATGTTTGGGGCGGGAGGGGAGTGAGCAGGCTGTAGGAGGTTAGGGCCAAGGCAAAAACAGCGCAAGCCTTAGATATCAGCTTTCATTCTTGAAGCTGTGTGTATGTGTGTGTGTGTGCGTGTGTGTGGGTGTTCTTTTTGTCGTCCTGGTGTTGGTCCTGTTACTGGCACAGTTTTTGCGCTATTTTTGCTGCGCTCTGCTTCTTGTTAAGCTTTGCCAACGTTTTTCTTTAATTATTCAAAAGATAATTACACTAAAAATTTTTTGTCATTTGCAAAACGGCGTCGCGCCATCCCCAAGTAACCCAACTTACAGCACAAAATCTATAGACGCTCTTTTTTCCACTCGTTTTGCCATATACATACATATATATTTCTCATTATTTCTTATTTTCAGATTTGGTTATTTTTCTTATTTTATTTTTTTTTTTTTTTTTGGTGAAAGTTTGCAACTTGCAGCCGAGCGCTAAAAATGCTATTTTTATTTTTGCCTCTCATAATTGCCAGCCAAGCAACCGGCGACAGAGAGAGATAGCTAGAGAGATTGGAAGAGAAAGAGAGAGAGAATCTCGTTGCCGGCGCCGGATGCCAGCGGAAAGTTTAAGGAAACGCAGCCCAGATACGAGTACAAGCGGTTTGGCACATAAGATACAGATACCCCCAGCGGTACGACAATCACATATGCTATATAAAACATGGCTTACAAAAAGAGTGTGGGAATGGCTAAAAAAAAGAGGCTGCTGCCAGTTTCATGGCTTTAAAATATCTTGAGTTTAAATATGATTCATGCTGAATATGTGCGCAAAATGTTAGCGAATGAGAAAGTTTTGGAATATTTAAGGGTAAGTGGAAAAAAATCGCTTTTTTGTAAATAATATAATTATAAAAATATGTTAATTTGACAAAATAGGAACTCGAAGAGTTAACTATGAGACTGTTTCTTAGGAGAACCTTGAAAAAGTTCAGGCTGCTTCTCAACAAACATTTTTATGCCTAAATAAAACTTAGAAATATTCTTAAAAATTATCTGACAAATTTTAAAGGAAGCGTAAGTGAAAAACTAAATATAAATATGTTTTGAATTTGGGTTTAATTCAAAGAATTAAATTAAATATTTAAAAGGGTACTCAAATAGTTCAGGCTGATTCTCAACAAATAGTTTTTATGCCTAAAACAGACAAGTTTTAAAATAGGTTTCGTTGTAAAATAAATGAGTTAAACTTTGTATATAAATTTATACTCTGAAAAGCCAAGTCGATCTAGCCATTTCTTTGTCCATGTCCAATTCTGTCTGTTCATCCCACCGTCCGTCTATCCGTATATATAAACGCGTCGATCTCAGATCCTATTAGAGCTAGCTATTTTATCATAGGTCCTCCGATAGTCGATAACTTGCTCCGTTTCAAAGCAATCGATAAGAATCGATATAAAAATGCTGTTTTCAGAGCTAATCTCTTAGGTATTATGAGCTAGGGTGCACTTTCTTTTTTAGTATATTCCGATCAAGCATCTTTCATTTCATAATTATCTCCAGAAGTTAAGGGTATGCCCTAGTCGTTCATTCCCGACTTGAGCACTCTTGTTGTTAATTTTTCTGAAATACTTATTAATATAAAAATACATGTAAGCGCAGCATATTGACAGATTTTATAGCCTGGGACCGTTTTAACATCTGGTTGGCAACAGCTCGACCAGAGGCAATTGCAAAAGAGTTCGATAATTATCGAGACATATTTAATAATAACAAATAATAATAATAAAAGCGCTACAGACAATTGGCTACATGTGCTTCACACACTCGCATGTGTATTTAAACATAAGTTAAAAGGTGTGCATGTGTGTGTGTGTGTGTGCGTGTCTGTGTGTGTGTGTTAGCATGTGTGTGAAGCGGTCATAATTGGCAGAAATTAACGTGACCGTACAATCAATATTTATCGTCTATATAAAGTCCATGCATATATTCATACTTTATATAAGTATTTATATATTTATGCATTTATACATATGTGTGTATATATTTATTTATATATTTATTCATAGTTGGTTGCCAGTAATTTGCCTTCGCCGCGTTCGCGTTTTAATTTAAATTCAAGTTGAAAGCTGTATTTTTTATACCCTGTAAACATTAAAAACGAGAAACTTAAGAAGGGGTTTCATTTAGTTCGTTAGTTAGGCAGGCCAGGCGAAGGCATTTTTGATTACATTTTTTGTATTTGTTTTCAAGCTCAAGGGCTAACCAATTTGGTAGCTTTAGATATATATGCATATATATATTTATATATACATATAGAATCTATATACCCTATAGGCTCTTGTATTTCTATGGCTTCATATTCTTGCTCCTCTCAAAACGGAGTAAATGATATTCAAAATACAACGTTTCTATATTTATTTTATTTTTATGAATCTTAACCCGACTACGTGGTATCTTTGAGTCGAGCACACTCCTGCGTGTCCGCAGTATACTTCTTTGTTTGTTGGCTTTGTTGTTGTTGGATGTGTTGATTTTGTCCATCAACAAACAAAAATGGCACGCAAATTATGAACCGCAAATGTGCGTGCGAGCCTGTCCAACATGGGCGTTGAATACGCTTATACGCGTGGGCGTGGGCGTGGGTGTGGGCGTGTCAGTTGATGCAGCATATCGAGAATATATTTACAATCTGCGCGGCCACGAAACGCGATTCGCAATTCGCAGAACGGCCGCACATCTATTTTTAATGGACATATTTTCATATACGCCGGCATTTCATTTAAGTTTTTGCTTTCGATTTTTTTCCCTTTTTTTTTTGGTCAACGTAAAGCCATCGCTTATATCTGGATAAGGGTATTCACTTACATATATCTTACATGAATCATTTTAAAGCTGATTAAAGCAAATATTTATATATTTCTGATATTATTGTTAAATGAAAAGCGTTTCAGGAAGAAACCAATTTAGTATTTATTTATTATTTATTATTTATTATTGTTGAAGTAACTATTCAAAGTTGTTTTTATTTTCTAAAAATGTATCGAATGCTCGAGCAACTTTTACCTCAAAACATGACTCTTATCTGAATACTGCATCAACTTTTTGACCACAAGCTTCATCAGCTCGTCAAAAGCACCTGCAACTGCGGCAAATGGCAAGTGCCACACTCTCTCACACACCCACGTGCTGAAGATGCAACACGTGGCCCTTGCGTGCCTATTTGCACTTGCCAAGTGCCAAGTGGTAAGTGGCAAGTTTACATTAAATACAATAAATGCTCGCCACAATTTATGCAATATCAGAATGGGCCATAGGAGTTGCTGTTAAAGACCGCATAATGCGGGCAACTTTAGCTAAAGTTCTGTGTTCTTTCATGCCACACAGAATATTAATAAATATTGGTGTAAAGAACATCTAAGCATTCTATTTGTTAGAAAAACTTTTAGAGATCACAAGACTTAAATGTGATTATCTGCATACGTGAGAAGTTTGTCCTTAAGGCAAATGGCAACTGGTTTTTGACAGTCCAAGTGTTATTTATTTATTTTGAAATATATTAGTAAAAATAGTGCATGCATTGCTTTAATATAATTTACATTTATTAAAGTGTCATTTACTAAGAGCCAATTATAAAAAATATGTTGCTTGGTTCTCAAGCTGATTTAATTATTGAAACAAAACCAAAAAACAGTTAAAAATAATCTCATTTTAAACTCAACATTAATTGGCCAACTCTTCAACTAACTTTGAGTTCTGCAAATAATAGTAAAAATATTCACCTGCAGCTAAGCTGTTAACAATATTGAAATAGTTTTGAAAATATGTGTATCTGCAGATTGACTGTGGAGCTCAGAAGTGCGAAAGTTTCGTGTTGCCAGACTAATTGCCAACTAGTTGCTCGTCAGCTGCCACATCTGATGCAACAATGAACTGAACTAACTGAGAAGTGTGCTGAAGCGCATTCAATATTCATATGCAGACGCTTACCAACTTTAGTTGGCACTTGGCAAAGTGTTGGACATATACACACACCCACACATACTTCCACATCCACGCATTCACCTAAATAGAAACATTTTCCGCACGTTGCCAGACCAACAATGCGAACTGTCCGCTGGCTCATCCGGCTACGCCCCACTGCAGCAGAGTCGACTGTTTATCGATGATGTGCAAATTAAATTTTGAGTACGGCCTGGCAGTAAACTACAGTAAACACTGGCCAAGGGTGTGACAAGTGAAGGCGGTGCGGCGCGGTGCGGAGCGTTGCGGGGCGTTGTCAGACAGTGCACCTTGATGGATGCGATGCGCACGTGTCGCCGACCGCAATGCAACATATTTTTTACACTCCAGAATTATGGGCCAACAAGGTGGCAGGGCGGGTTGAACAAATAAACAAACCGAGCTAACGGAACATTGTGGCCAACACACACAAATGAGAAATTTATAAACAAACGTAAAAACAGCAATGTCACTGTGTGGCGCCACCTAGTGCCCAGCGGTGGAGTTTGTGTTTATTCGCCTCGCTTTTTATGAAATGCATAAAATGCAGCAACCTAAACCAGAAATAAAACTCAAAATGCAACTAATTTGCAAGGACAAAAGTGGCCGTGTTGTTGCTCTGGGCGTGGCTGCTGGCTGCTAGCTAGGTGGCAACAACCATTACAGTTGGCTGTGGCTTTAGTTGTTAGTACTGTGTGCGTACACTGGCAAAAATTGAATAAGGGCGTGCTTAAACAAACACATAAAGTTAAACAATGTAGGCATTGAAATTGTATCTCACATAGTCTACACTGAGTTCAGCATCATTGGATGCCATAGTTACAATTATTTAAACACTTTTAAATACTAGTCGCATACAAGTAAAACGAACCCAAACATGGCTAAGCCCAAGGCAAACAGCAATCGCCGTGAAATCAAGTCCATATTACATCGCATTTCTTGCCACTCAGGTGCCATACATTTGCCACGGAAAAGTTATAGAAACACATTGTTGCGTCGCTGGCCACAGATCGAAGAGAACTTGAATATGGGCGCATTCTATGAGCATCGCAAGCAACGTCTCAGCCAGACATACTGTTTTGTCACATCCATTTGCGGTCAAAGCTCCGATTTTTTATGTGCCCAAACTTTTCTTCAGGCGTAAGACTTACATCACTTCTATGGCAAACCCAAGCAATAAGAAAAAACCTATTTTAAATTGATTTTATACACATTCAAAATTAACAAGTATTTTTTCGGCTGCATACAGAATAAATTAAAATATATTATGGTCCATTATTAATTCGACTTTCATCTAATACTAAATGGAATTATTTTTATTGTTTTTTTTTATTATTTATTTTTGTCGACATTGTCTATGCTTCTGTAAACCTATTCGAAAATGCCGCCAAGTGCGTATTTTTCAATTATCATTGTGATCAAACTTTATTAAATCTGAAGTCCTTAAATCAATGATAAATAGCGAATAATGAAAAGTAATTAACAGCGTTTTGAGCATTCAGCAAAGTATTTTAATTAATAATACTTGATTCATATGCTTAACGCACTTGCTTTTTTTTTTGATTATAATATTTTAATATTGAGTATCGTGTTACTGCGTTTATGATGCAGAATTCACGTACTTTTCTTCAATGGGGAAAAGTTCAAATATTTTAAATTTAAAAGTATTAAATGGAAATTAAGTATTCATACATGGGCTGTATTAATGAATTTGGGATTAATGCACGTTGAATAGCCTTTAATAAGCATATTTAACAGCATTAACCTTTATCAAATGTTACAATTGGAATATAGTCTACTGACTAACTGCTGGAATTCAAATAAAATAATATGGAATAAAAATATATGTATATATCTTTCTATTTATCT